AAAAAAAAAGAGACCGGATAAATTATGGTTTCCATACTTGTATTGGGAACAGAAGAACAAGCAGCAGTGCACCAAGAAGTGAAGCAACACCCAACTGCTGGTAAAGAAGAACCAAGGCCACAACAATACGGAAAGGAGCTGACCACAAAGTGTGGAGTGATTGGCATATTTGCTGCACAAAATGAATGTATCAACGCAAAAATGCTACAGTCAAATTACAAAAAAATATATTATCAATGTCAGCCTTAGTATCTCTTTCTCAATTATTCAACTTATATTATTTAAACTTCTAACTAGAAAATATTCGGACTTGGTTGAGTATTACATAAATTTCCTAAAAGGAAAAATAATTAAAAAAAAATATACCTGAAGAGCTTCAGCATCAGTGGTCATCAAATTTGTAATTTTACCAGATGCAAAACTTTTGCGGCTCTCGTGAGTCAGCTTTAAGGATTTGCGGAAAACTGCAGCAACCTAGAAATATTGTACCATAAGTATGAGGGTGCCATGCAATGCAATAGAAACTCAAAGCCTTTGCTCAATCATTTTTTTGTTAAAAAATAAATATACCAGGATAGTTACGCTAAAACAACAAATATTCAAATAAAGAGAGTAACACAACTCAAACACTACTTCCTATAATAAAAGATCGGTAGTTGATAGCTTACCAGAGTTGACCTCAAACGATAGCCAACACGCATGACGTTTTGAAAATATTGAGCTTCGCATAACACGCCAAATACCTAAGGTAAGGGATAAAGTTGGAGTTAAGAAGCTGTCAAGGAAAGAATCTCTCCTTGATAACAAGAACCAGCTAATTGGAACGCAAAATAAATAAAATTGTAAGTAGCTTTTTGATCTATTGGCAAAAGTTCTGAGCTTTTACTTCAAGACAAACAGCAAACATATTTGGAGAGCACGAGTCGAACGGCTAAAGCATTTAATTTATAAAGACAAAAGCAGCACACTATGGCAATCTATAATATGAGTAAGGAAACAAAAAAATAATAATTACGTACCACTCCAAGAAATATTGAGAATGCATATATGTAACCAATCCAAGCTGGATCTCCTCGTTGCATTGACTGTGGATATCATAATACGGTTGCTAAATGACAAATATAAAAGGAGGGAAGCATAACGAAATAAATGCACAATAAGGAAGTCTATAGGAATTATACTTACTTCTAAAAGGCGGTTCAATATAAGAGGACCAATGAACTGTGAGACATCATTCCCTATCTACAGATAAAAAAAGAATTACATAAATTATGGAAAGGAACTTCATATATGCAAGCCGAAATTTGTCAATCCAAATTAAATGATCATAAAATTGATGTGGAACATTTTTCCTACCGACCAATATTTTACAAGATCCATAAACCTTGTAAAAATGGCACTTCAAATAAAGAAACAAAAGTTAAGGATTGCTACGCACATCAGCTTGTAACTATGCCATAGCTTAAAATAATATATATATGTATATAAGAATATATATATATGTATATAAGAATATATATGAATAAATATATATATATATATATATATATATTAATTGGTGCACTACCTTCCAAAAGCCTCCCCACCAAAATCTGAGAAGTCAAAAGGAAAAGAAAAAGAACAATGATATGTCAAGTTTTCTGGATAATAAAACAACACAATATGAGTAACTATTAAATACACTCGAAAAAAAAA